ATAAGATATCAGCATATGTTGTCTTTTGAAAAATTACAGATTCAGTTTGCTTGGAAAATTTAGTTTCCAACTTTATTCTGTCCTATTTATTGTCCAGTCTAAGGAGTAGTAGTAATTTATTTACAGTTTTTGTTTAAAAAAATGCAGTACAATTGACCATGAAGTTATCTAAGTAAAAATAGTTGCCTCTTGTTTTAATAGTTGCAAATATTTCTTTGTTTTTAAGAGATGCAAGTTATAACTTGTGCAACAGTGTATTATTCACAATTCATAATTATAGAGCACCAAATCCTTCAAAATGTACAAGGGAACACTATTAGAATGCATCTTGTTGGCATCTCATCATTTCACACCTGCACTGAATCTTACAAGATCAATTCTCACCTTGTCATACCCTACAGAAGAATAAAACTACTGTAACTTGGGTTCTTGCTGTGGTATTAAATACTCTCACAGATGCTATCCACCACTTTCAGATTATAGGCAGCTGCCTGAACATATCTTACAGTCAAAACAAATTTTCCACTAACTATTACTATACTTCTGTCAGAAGAGTAGCTGAATTCAACTGTCTGGCACAGAGTTAGATTTTTTTTTTTCCTGGCAAGACTTATTGCCAGCAGTGGACACTGAGAACTGCTGGCACCAAGGATTAATGAATTATTAGTATACACTTCATTCTTTATGATATTTAACGATATTATGTTTAAACAATGTACATCCTTAAAGTGATAACACGGTTCCACATCAGTTTTGAAATTTGACATAGAAGTTTTTTACCCCAAACCTCATGATTCAGAATCCAAAGTCTGTGTCACCTGTTTGATAGTACAAAAGCTCTAAAGATCTTTACTTAATTTGTTCTATTACAAAAATTTCTGTAACTCTTCAGTGTGTATTGTTGAAGAAGTATATGTTTTTTTGAGAGAGAGTGAGAGTGACTAGGCTTTATCAAAACTGTTATTTTGATAATATCAATACTGAATTCAAGACGACTTTTTGAATTTAAGATTACCCCCCAATAATTAGACTCCATACATGTAAAAATTATAAATGTGTTATAATTTCTCATGTATAGAATCTAATTATTGGAGAGTTGTCTTAACTTTGTCCCTTCCACAGTTTTGCAGCAGGGAAAGCAGTGGCAGGGAGGCAGGCTGTGGGGGGAAGGGGTCAAGTGGCCTGATCCCTCTCCCTTGGACCTTGTCCCTTGCCACCTGTTTCCCCCAACACTTGCCCCCTCTTCTTGCCATCTGGTGCCTGCTTCCCCTTGTCACCTGTGCCCCTGGGGCCTTCCTCCATACTGCCTTCTCCTTCCTACCTGTACCCCCCGGCACCTGCCCTCTCTGATTTCCATGCCCCATCCTCCCTGGTGCTTGTGCCCCAGAAGTGCCTCTCCCCCTGCTGCCTATTCCCTCTGTACCACTGCTTCTTACTCTCCATTGTGACTCCAGCTCTGGCTCTGGCCCTGCTCTGGTGGCTCTGGCCCCACCCAGACAGACAGCAGTGGTGGGCTGGCAGCAGCTTTGGTCCCAGGTTGGTCCTTTGTTCATTGTTAGAAAACCAAGTGTCTATGTATGTGGAATTAGGTGATAGCGAACATTTGTGTCCTGTGCTTCTGGATACTAATGCAGCCCAATTAATAAATAAAAATAACAACACTGTTCTACTTAAGGGATGCCTATATCCTCTTGAGCTTGAATCTAGTTTAGGAGATCTCCTATTATAATATAGAAAGATTTGTAAAAACTAAATAAACCTCTATTAAAACAGTTGTATATTGTTACTCTGTACATTAACTACATTTTAATTCCTAAAGGAGCTTGGAAAATTTACATGGATATTTTTATTCCCCCTCTGTCTCTCCCATATCCATTCCCAGGCTTGGGAAATGCAACACACCCTTGCGACATAGGGCTACCTAAATTTTTAATGATGTATTATTCATTATTAAAATTCCTCTCAAAAATATACTGGTAGCATTTGAAAATGAAAAGAAAGAAGAAAATAGATGCTTGGCATTTCTGTTAGTATACTAGGGCAAATCTACCCCTCCTGAAGTCAGTGAGCTATAAACTCATACTTGATGCAGCTAAGGAAAGGGAAACTCCCTAGTGTAGTATAAAGTAGCTAAAGGGATCCTTTAAGTCGGGAATTCTCAACCATTTTCTTCTTGAGGACCCCTCTAGCATGCAATAGAAACTTCACGGCCCACCTGTGCCACAACAACTGTTTTTCTGCACATCCAGTAGATTAAATGCTGTATTAAAGTGATAGTTATTCAGTTAAACACCTATATAGTGTCTAATATACAACGGAAATGATAATATAGGTACAAAAGTTATAATTGACATAAAATAAATTATTCTGACATATCACCTGGATGGATATATTATCATTATATTATATCAATTATTTATAGTTGTTGTACCCATATAAATCTTTTCTTTGTGAAGTTTCCATTTTCCCAATTTTATATGTATTTCATGATTATTTTTATTTTACTTAGTGTAAAACTTGTTGCTGGTGCTGAGCAACAGTCTTTTTCAAGACATGGGGGTATCTGTGACAAGCACACATGCATACATAGTCAATGTTCATCCTGGCTTGGTACATTGTTTTCATTGATATCATAGCAGAAAATCCAGCTTCACGTATGTAGGTGGTATTAAACGGTATCAAAACATTCAGTGCTGCAGAAAATGCAGTTCTGTATTCATCAAAAAACTCTCACCAAAATGTCTCCAGCAGCATTTTGTTAAACCTGGTTCTGAGGGAGCTGTCTGATGAAATGTCAGTGTGCTCTTCCTATAGTTTTAATGGGACAATGGATGGAAGTTTAGCTTCAATATTCTCACTAAAGGGGGTTGTAATCCACATGTGTGTAGTGGCTTGTTCCATCATGAGTTCAGGGAAATAAGCATTAAATTTGTCAAGCAGACCAGATAGACTGCTAGCTGAGGTTTAATTATGTCAAAGTCAATATTTCTTTCCTGAATGAAAGAATGTAAGAGTTCAAACATATCAGTAAAGTCCCCACAGACATGAACTTTCCAGAGTTGTAGTTTTCTTTTGAATGCCTGAATTCTTTCATGCTGGGCAATAAAAGTAGTGCTCCCACCTCATATAGTTTTATTCAGTTTCTTATTTTACTGAATATGCCTGTTAGGTAACCCAGTTTTGCCAGACACACACCATCTTTCAGCATTTTGGCAAGTTCAGGTTTCCTATTGGCTAAGAAAGTATATTTAATCTCAAAAGATGAGTTATATATAAGTAAGCATTCTACCTTGAGAGAGCCACCTCACTTCTGTCTGCATAAGCAGGGAATGGTGCTCTGCCCCCACTTCCTCACAAAGTGCAGCAAAGCACCTGAAGTTTGTTTCTTTGGATTTAATGAAATTAACAGGAGTGTCACCGCTGTGTTCAGTACACTGTGAACACCTAGTTCAGTATCTTCATCAGCAAGCGCCTCACAGTGTAAAAAACAGCGTGTCCAAATAGCGCTAGGTACAATGGCTTTTATTTTCTGCACAACACCAGAATGCTTTCCAGTCATTGCTGTAGCTCCATCAGTGCAGAACCCAGTGCAATTTATCCAGCTGATTTCTGCAGAAATCATTAAATCATCTAAAAGTATGAAAATGTCATCTGACTTCCTTGTCATCTTAATCTCTTTGCAAAAGAAAAAGTCTTCCTTTATTTCCTTATTCCACACATACCAAACATAGGCAAGTAAATGGGAAATTTTTGAAATGTCTGTGAATTCATCTAATTGTATAGCAAAGTCATTCTCACACAGCTGATCAATGCACTGCAAAACTATGTCTTTAGAAATAGAAGTGATCTGTTGTTTGACCGTGTTATTTGAAATAGGTATTTTTGCAAGTACCTTGGCCTTCTCTCCAAACTTTTCCTTTGCAATTTCAGTAGCACATGGCATTATTAAAATCTCAGCAAAGGTATGTGATTTATTTGCTTTAGCAGTTTTCTGCACCACTATGTAGGCTGTTCCTACAAGCTTTTTATCCATAGTAGTTGTAGATTTCATTACTGCTTTAGTACCAAGCAGTTCCTGGGTCTTTATCTCAAAAAATGAATGTTGCTTGTCCTTATTGATTTCATGCTTTGTAATTAAATGTCTCTGCAATTCTGAGGGTTTTAACGTTCAATGGACAGTATTTGTACACAAATTACACACTGCTTTTGAGGTGCATCTCCACTTCCAGAACAAATGAAACCAAAATTCAAATAGCTGTCCTCATATTTCCTAAATTTTGCAGTTATGAATTACTTTGTTTCTTATTCACACCACCTCCCTTGTGTTCTTCAGCCTCTACTTTGGTTGAACACATTGAAGAAAGCTTAGTATCATCACTCCATGAATGTTGTTGTTTTGATGCTGATGGTCATATTAAAATGTATGTGTAACTGATGTTTATTGTTTATGTACAATGATTTTCCCTGTGCTGTGTATCTTTTTGTGCTCTTACTGAAATAGCTCCTTCATACTTTACGTGAAGTAAATGGAGAAACTGTTATGTAACCTGAGACTGTGAAAGTGTTAATTTTACTGAAGCCAATAGGTTTCAGCATAACATGCAGGAAAATTAACATGCTGTCTGGAGCCTGCTGAGTATAATCATAATATTAATAATAGGCAGTACTGGTTTCTAAAATAAGAAGCATAAGGGAAATGAATGACTAAAAAGTAACTCAGTTTGGTTACTTTATCTACTTCCAATCTTATTTTAGAAACATAGTGTATAAGAAGAAATATTAAATGAAATGCATGTGTTCTTAGCTCTTCATATGTAATGCCAAATATAAATACTAAGGTGCAAAAAACAATGTCTAAAGAAAATTGAGATTGTTTTAATTGCACAGGATACAATACAATTAAATAATTTCACATCAGTCTCTTAGTTCTTGCATTTCATATTTCTCCTTAAACATGTATTTAATCTTTTATTTAATTCAGACCTATTTATTTTTTCCAGGTCATTTAAGAATGGTTTTGTTGAGCAATTTCCTCCAGGTTTCTCTAAAGCAAATATTAATCATCCTTTATACTGGCTGTCTTGCTTAGCATCTTTTTGTCCTTCACTTAAGTGAGTATCTCAGTTTTGTTGTTGTGTAACAAGTATTGCATAGTAAATACTGGTTTAATATTGGTACAATATCACACATATAATACATCGAGATAAAATAGGCTGTTGAAATTAATATATTAGACCTGTTCTGAATTTGCATGTTTCACCAACTGGAAAGATGTCCTGTTCTTAAGCTTCAGTAATCTATAATAAGACTCAGGTTGAAGGCAGGTGTATTATGTTTGATACTTGAATTATTTTCAAGATATTTTAATGAAACCTGAAGTTATACTGTTCTTGAAAAAAATGTAGGCTTTAGCACAGGTGCAGCTTTCATGGTGTATAATTTAGGACAAAAGAATGAACTTAAATCCCTGTCTTTACTAAGGTTGGTCAAAAAAGAGGTTGATATTTAAATAACTCATTGAAAATATGCCAAATTTTTCCACTGTCTAGTTGTGTTTGATTTTTAGGGTGCTTACTGCATGATTAGAAGAAAATGCTTAATTTTGCTTTCTGTGTCACTGCCTATAATGACAAGTTATATATGAGACATATGCTACCAGCTGTGCTGTCATTTGCTTTCTAATTTTGGACGCAAAGTACTCCCACACCCATTGTAAGATCTTCTAACCCCTTTGCCTCCTCCCTCTCCTCAATAAATTATTTTGACTTCTGGCATTTTCCAAGAGATATTCCCCTCTGGTTTTCATATTTTAGATGTTTTGGCAAATATTCAGATTTACTATAAGAAAAAATGATTTTCTCTTTCAAAAGAAAAAGAAAAAAGAAATATGCTCTCTTTCTGAGGTCACATTTATGCTGGCATTAAAGAGTGTAATGAATAGCAAGGTTCTTAAGTTTTAAGTCATTTTGGTTCCTTTATTTGTAGGTAAATCCTCAAAATGTAGCAAATACTATGAATCATCCCAGGGGAAGAATATCCTTGCTTCACCCCTGTATTGCTTTCAGAGAAAGGGGTGGTAAAACCAGCCACCACAGGGTCCTTTTATGTAAAGCCTTCATAAAGACATTCATTCCTACTGGAAGAAATTTCTTCCAGTAGAAAAGTAGCCCAGGACCCGGACAATAAAGATTTTCCTCCAGCCCCAGGGCTAGAGAGCTTCACTGATGAGCTCTCTAGCTAGGGGTACTGTAGGACTGCTCCTGGAGCCACCGTGGTGTTTAGGGGAACCATTTAACTGAGTGCTTGCCCTCTTCCCTGACTAGGAAGGAGCAGACTGTCAAATGGAAGTTGGCAGCTACTGGAAAGCAGCAGCTGCCACAGAAAGCTCCAGGAAGGTCTGAGTCCCAGGAAGATGCCATCTCCCCCCCCTTTCCCCCAATCCCACCAATCAGCTGACTGGCAGAAGTGGGCCATTCTTCCATGGTGGGAAGAGCAGTGCAAAGAGCAGGGGAGCACTCAGCCACTGTAGCAAGACTCCGGTAGTTTTGCCACAGGGGTGCAACAACCTACGTCACCCTGCACTGGTATGGGTTGACCCAGAGCACTGCAGAGTGAGGTGGGGGCATTTTGCCATGGCAGCAAGGCTCCCAAATCTTGCCACTGTGGCACAGCAGCCTGCCTCATCCCCCTCTGCTCCAGGTCAGCAAAGTGCTGAAGAGAAGTCACCAGGGCTGGGATCCAATCTTGGGGAAAGCCTCCACACACCAGGCTCCCCACCTCTCCAACTGTTAAATTGCTACCCCTGCTACCCAACTGAGTAGTGAGGTGGGGGTTGGGAAAAGAGGATGCTGGAAGGGCTGGGAGCTAGAGGCCCTCTGGCTTTCCTCCCAGGCCCTTTTGGCTTTTCAAACATCTTCAACTAAGCAGCAGGGGAAGGCAAAGGAAAGCAAGCAGGGGGCTCTCAAACCAGGAAAGCCTGGCCCCAGGAGGTTTTTAGCCCAGGGGAAGGTGTGCAGAAGTCCAGTCTCCTGGGAGAAACTCTCTTTTAACCCTGGTTGTTTCTGGGTTATTTTTCTCTTGGAGAGGCTATTTTTGCTCCAGGAGAAAAAGTATGAATGTCTCTAAACCTTTTTTGTTTTGTTTTATGATGCTCTCAGTAGAAATTGAACACCTGTACATGGCCAAAGGGGAGTATGTTCTGTGACCATTTACATAAAGTGAAATCTTGGCCCCATTTAAATGAGTAGCAAAACTGTCACTTACTGCTTTGTAATCATAATTTCACCACTGGCCTTTCAAGCAATTTTGTCCTGGAGGGGTGCATCTACATGTGTAATTATGGCACCTGAATAAACTGCAGAAGTTATTCCTCTGGAGTTAATTGCTCCCAGGCTTACCATTTGAATATGCACCTGGGAGCAGTTTATTCAGGCACAGGACGTGAAGCCTGGGCAACACAGATCTGACTGGCAGGGGGCACCAGAGGTCAGCCTGCGAGCCCGGGGCTGCTTCCCTTGGTGCAGTGTGCTACGGACGGGCTGGCTGAGGCATGAGGTAGCTTCAGCGTGAGGCTAGCAACTAGGCAGTATCTACATGTGCTATTTACAAGTACTGTCCTGCTGCAGAGTAAATTAGTTTACTCCAGCCTAATAGGGGCACAAGTGTAGTTGCTTATTAGTCAAATGTGCAGTAAATGTCTTGTGTAGACATGCTTGAGGAGTAGCAGAAAGCTGCTTTAAAATACTCAAGGCCTAAATATTTCCACCTTGTGGGAGAAAAATCAGAGGAACGTAAATGAGGAATTCCAGGCACTGCCTTTCCCACTTAGGAAATAACTTTCTCAGCACAGCGAATTGAAAGGGAGAGAAGAGTGCAAGTCCTTGTATGGCCAGTGTGTCATATGGCCAAAACCTCATGCAGGAATTGACAGAAAAATAGAAAAATATTTAATTCCTGGTTTTGACAACAAAACATTTACCTGTTCAGAAAATTCAGTAAAAGATTCATAATTTAATTGCCTTGAAAAAGGGCCAGAATTTGAGAAGTATTGATTTTGTTCTGAATTTTTTTTTACTGTGCATTAATGTTATGGAAGTTTCTTTCTTCTCATCCCGTATCGCTATATAAACAATAAAGAGTGAAAAAATATACAAATTACAGAAAACTTTTCTTTTAAAATTTTCCGAATCCTTATTTTATGTTTTCAGCTTTATGCTTCATGGTAAATTGAATCCTATTACAACAAAGTTGATAAATTTATTTGTGCAGATCAATCCTTGAAATCTTTAATATTTTAAGAATTCTAAATTTCTGCATATATTAGTTTGTATTTTGTTTCTTTAACTTTTTATAATTTTTGCTTAAAGTATATTGGGATTAATTTTCCATTTGTCTAATAAAAATATTGAATTTTTTTCACATTTATTTTTCATCTTGAATTTCAAATGAAATAGCACATTTGTTTATTCAACTTTAATGACTAGTTCATAAATATTAATGTTCTTTTAGTGATTTGCTTTTGTGGTTTATAGGTTGCTTTCATATAATTTTACCTTGTGCAAATCAACATTTCTGTCTTTTCCTACTATTACAAAACTGAACATTTATGTGTGTGATATTTATATATACTTCACCTTTTGTCTCTTTTATGAGGCTAGTCTTATGTTCACTGCTACATGAGCTAGGAGGATGATAGAACATATGCCTCTCCATATGTCCAATACAAAACTTCTCAGTGCATTTATTGGTGCTAGTTTAGTGGCTGTAGGGAATGTCTGCAATATTTTATTTTTCCTCTGAGTGAGTCACACCACTGTACATTTCAATTTGCAGGAGGCGTAAAGAGCCAAGAACGAGTGTATATTGCAGTATGATAACTTCCCATCTGGTCAATGACAGACAAGTTTTATTTCTACCCAAATATTCTAAAAAGGGCAATTATGTATATATTATATATTTTTATATAATTTAAAAATATTATTCTTCACATACCTAACTGACCAACCCCCTTCCTTTTCTCATATTTTGAAGGCAATGGAAGGCATTGATAGGAAGGATGCTGTAGAAATATATGAAATACAGATGAAGACAGACACAAATGTCCTTGTAATGTCACTGAATTAATGAAAATGTAGAGTTCACACTTAAGTCAGAATATTAAAGCTGTTACTTTTAATAGTAGTAACTGTTTAATTTTTACCTGTCTAGTAGTGTAATTACAAATTTGTTTTTATTCATTTGTTGAAACCAGTTATCTTCGGAAAGTGTAATTTTTTTTAAAGTGATTTGTAATAGAAGGGATTATCCCTGAAAGTTTAATTGCTGTAAAAATGTGCAAAAAAACCTTTTTACTGCAAGTTCTATTAAGATTTTTATTCATATATAATAATACACATTAAAATTATCTTAAATTAGCAGTGATGTGTAATGTTAATACATTAAAAATGTCATTGCCAAGTAATTAAGGTTGCTACACATATCATACACCTGATGCTAACCCATAAAAGCATCAAAATGAACAGCTAGGGCACATACTCACTTCAGTCATATGCCCATCTATTGTCAACTACTGCTCAACTAGTACTACACTAAAGACCATGTGTTGCAAGTATAATTCCATTCTGTCACATGACCTTCTTTACCAAAGTATCCTGTTAGTAATGTATGTTTGGCATAGTAATGTGTTACATTACTTCAGGATCCTAAGAAGTTAACACTGCTGTTGCTCACCCTTCCCTTTACCCCTGCTGCCCATATTAGTTGCCAGGAGCAACAAAAAACCCTACATTTCTATAGTGGTAATAGTGGAGGGGAGGCAAGCAACATTAACTTTGTGGGTTCTGGAGCTAGCTGCAGGGATTAACACTCCCAATGCAGGGTCTCCAGCAGCTATTGCAGCAAGCTCTGTGGACTGAATTTGACCGTGGGTTCGGTGGTCCAGCCAGTGAGAAGCCCTCAAGCTGGGTGACCCACCTTTGTGGGCTGGATTCAGCCTGTTTAACACCCCTGGGCTAGGGACAGATATTACACACAAACCAGTAAAAGTGATCAGAAACCAGTTCAAATCTGTAACCCAACAGAAGTTCAGTGCACATAAACCACCTTCAAAGTGGCCAAAACTGATTTAAGATAAACCTGGATGGAAGTAGTATCAGACTTAACTGATTTAGGTTAAATTGGCTTATTGAACTTCTGTCACAGATCCCTCAAGATTCAAGTTAACTCACGGTCCCCCAGCATCCCAGGATGCTTTGCATCTCATGTGCAAACACCTCACAGGTTGGACACACTAGCTTAGGCCCATGTTGTCTGCTCCTGCCAAGCAGGGAGGCATGCTCTAGTGCTCCTTCCCTCCCCCCACCAGCTTCTGCAAGCATGCAAGCATGTTGCTGTTTCTTTATAGTAGTCTGAACTAAACAACGTTTTTCATGTAATAATTTACTAGGAATTTTTAATGCTTAAGTGGAGATGGGTTGTGACAGACCTGTGGAAGTATAACTACAGCAGCACCTGACAAGGAAGAGTTTTTCAATCAGCAGCTGCCACATGAAACATGTTCAGTTATATGCCACCAGCTGTGCATAAATGGCACATAAACTTTCTGTACAGTTATACATAAATCCTTCTCCAGTCTAACAGAAAAGTGTTGCTTCTATTGGAGAAGGTTTGATTTAATAGAAAAGGATGGGAGTGTGAGCTCTGGTGGGTAGAGTTTATGCACATATAGTTTATGCATCAGTGCACAAAAAATGTATGTACATTAATTTTACACATACAGTGCATATATTTTCTTCATTGATAACTATGGATCCATAAACTGACAACCAAAATGAGTAATGGGTAAAAGTCACCCCAAATTCAAACATTGCTAAGTTTTTTGAGTAACTGGACAATGGCTTTGAAAATGTCATTCAACAATGAAAGATAAGACAGTAAGGGAAAATTTCCAACCCTTCCAACCCTATATGTGATGCAGCATGTAAACACAGGTGGGGGTCACATTCCTCGAAGTTTATTGGCTAACACTTCACTCTTGTGCCTGATGTTTAAAGGGCTGAATAAAATAAGGGTAGCTGACTGGTAAGGGCAGTTAGGGTGTGCAAAGCGGGCAGTATTCGATTCGGATTTGGCCTGATTCAAGAGACAGTGATTTGATTCACTGATTTGGATCACTCTCCCAATTTGATTCATCCAAATCTGAAGATTCGATTCGGATTTGGAAAATCATCAATTCAGCCATAGACACAGCTTTATATGGTTTTTTTACATACCTCAAGGTACTGGGCACGGCTCGTGAACGCTGAGATGGTAGGGTGGATTGAGCATCCCTCAGGAGTGCAGGGAGGCCCCTTGCATGCTCAGTGGCGAACCTGGAAGTGGACCAGAAGCACTTCCAGTCCACTGCCAGCTCCACCGCCGGGTGTCCCCTGCACTCCCATGGGATGCTCCATCCGCCTCATCATCTCAGCATTCACAAGCTGTGCCTGGTACCTTGAGGTATGTAGAAAAAACATACAAAGCTGTGTCTGTGGCTGAATCATCAAATCTCTCCAAATCAATTTTGGAGGCTCCCAATTCAATTTGGAGAGATAATGGGTCTCCTGGTTTGATTCAGATTCGGAGATTCGGCTGCTAAATCGGGCCAAATCTCCTCCAGATCAAATCAGTGACTGAAGCTTCACACAGCCCTAAAGGACTGTACAGTTACCAGGTCCACTAGGGAGATAAGATTGGCAGTCCTCACCCTGCAACCACTGACAGGATTGTCAGCTGCAGAGCTGCTGAGGAGGAAGTTGCTGTATTTCTTTATCTTGTTCTGGCTGTTGCTGTCCCTATTTCCTAGTCCCTTTTTTGGGATTGTCTAAGAAGTAAGGAAAACAAATGTGAAGGCAGAAAGCTTGGAGAAGTAATAGAGTGGATGGATGTTTCTGTGGCACCTATGTTGAAGGGGGTAGAGAGAGGGAGGGAAGTGCTACCTCTAATCAAAGAGGTTGCTTGCAGTAGCCTGGTGCCCCACTTTATAGAAACAAAATCAAAATTAATTGTATTTCTAAATATTTCATATTTAAGATTGTTGTAGTAGTCAGTAGGTGAGCTCAGGGTAAGTCCTTTGATGTAAGCCCTTTGGCAGCCTAATTTTTGCTATAAAACACACACACACAAAATTACTGACCCCCCACTTCCAAAAAAAAAAAAAGAAAAGAGAGACAAGTCAACATTAAATAAGTTATTTTGGGAGTAGAGGCTCTTTCTCAGTAAATGTATGACTGAATTAACCCAAGTTTTCATCATATCTACTCATGGTCCTTGGTTGACAAAGCAATTTTCAGGCCATCTGATTTTAAATGTAGATTTTGCAGGACATTCAAAATGCTGCTTAACCTATGAGCTGGTATCATATATGCACTACTTTGAGTACTTTTACTATTTTTATCAGCTTCTTATTCTTTATTTCAGATATTTCATAGCCTTGTGCTAAACAATTAATGTATTACTGAATTAAAATATTATAACCTCAGATTTATTCAAGCAAGAAAAATCATTTTTCTCTCACGGAACAAGAATATACATGGTTCCACAGAAGAGATAAGTGAGGTTACTTTGTATCAGTTATAAATTTGGCAGACTACCAAATGTTAATTTGCTTTTAGCTAGTTGAGATTAAATGTAATTCCTTCCCTGAGCAGCCTTAAAGTAAGCAAGCATGAAAGCATTTTCAAAGTAATCTGGGAAGAATTGACATTTAAAGGAGTTAGCATTACATCTGCACTTTAAGGCTATTAATTTCATAGATAAATTAACTACATTATTCTCTCTTTATCTTACATTTTGAAAGGACTCCATCAGCCGGAGAAATGGCAGCCCAGGGTCAACTGAAACTGCTCTTATCCCAACCATGTTGTAATTGGAACTTGCTTTTGGAAACCCTGCTACATCGTGATTGTCTCTTAGTGAAAATTTTATTGAAGAGTTCAAGTAAGTATTTGTGCTGTGTACATGTGTAAGAATATCAGTGAGAAGTACTGATATGTTCTTGAGCTCTGCTATATTTTTCACAACTTGAATGCTGATAAAAAGTTGCCAACTAATAGTGGGTATCAATAATCATTCAGTTAGCAAGACAGATACTGAATTACAAAAAGAAGGCTTTCTTACTTTTTACTATGAGAATTGTTCAATCAGTCTGAACAGTTGAATCAGGTAACATTTTGATAAAATAGGCCATTATCCTAACTATGAAAATCAGCTTCTGAAAAGTGAATGATTTTTGGAATTGTTACTATTTTTATGAAAATTGATTTAAGATTCCAATATTTTAGAATTAAGATTCTAAAAAGTTACCTGTAAAATATTACAGATTTTTCAACAATGAAAAAGATATTTTGTGTGTGTTATTGTAGGCAAAATTTGAAATGGCAGCTAAAATGCCATTTTCTTGTATATTAATGTCATGGTTCCTTTATATTAATAGGTTGAGGTGTGTAATTATAAGACATACAGAAAAGCAAATGATAGAATGGTCCAACATTGGTTTTCCTATTTTATTCTGCTAATATTATATTTGAAAATATTAAACATTCTTACCTATCATTTTAGGAGCTTTCATATAAAGTGATTAGGTTATTGAACAGCTAGTGGTATAATTACTAATTTAGAATAATGATTGCAATAATGTTGAGTTATATTATTAAAAACTAGTTTCTATCATTCTTTGCAAGAAACTTTTTGTTACATATCACACAAAATATTAGGTCCACATAATATTAAAAGTAACATAATTTAGGTCTGTCATTTTTAAGTGGTCTAACATTTGTCAGAAGTACAACATTGCTTCAACTTCTGTCATGCTTCTTACTGAGTGCTGCACTGCATTCACTTAGCTATTCAAATACCTGTCATCTTTTACAAAGACTGACAAATGTTTGATCAGGATCATATTCTTACTCTGGCATTATCCTGTACTGAATTTTCCAGCTGCTTAAATTATCACAAGGATGAAGTGACAGAATTTATTAATCTATTGACTGACCAACCCTTTGAGCTTCAAGCAAGTACATATGTTGCTTAGAGTTAAGAAGCATGTAATTTGCAAAGGCTCTGCTACTAGTTTTACAGTGATAATATCGATAAACTTTTATTTCACATAAAACTGAAACTACAATAGTCATTTGCTTCTAGAGTTCTAATTTTTCAAATTAAATATGTACTGTGAAAATTGCCATGTTCTTTACATTACAGATTTGTGGGAAAGATGCATTAAGTGATATAAAATAATACACTTTGTAAAGCAACAAAACATGTTTATCAAATAGCATTTCTAATAAAGCACTTTTGTGTTTGATGGCAAACTGATATAGTTTTCATTATATGAATTTTATAATGGTTAAAAATTCATAAAGTGTGGTTGTACAAAATTCCTTTCTAAAGCAATTAAAAATGATCTAGAATTATATCTTAGGGATAAATAGTAGTATATCTTATTTTCTTAGTGAGGACAAAAGTCTTATAGTACTATAGAAACATATATTTCACCAGCAGTAGTATTTTCTTAATCAGCTACTATATGCAAGTTGTTAAAAAATAAGTATACCATAAATTTGGATTTGGGCATGATGAGTATCCACATCACAAAACTTCCTGAACTAACTTATTTTCACAGCATAAATAATACAGAACTTTTTAAAAGGGTAAAAGTATGCTTTTCAACTTTTTCCTTTTATACATGCAAAAAACCAAAAAGATATCTGCCAGCACAGCTGATATTTAAATGAGTGCTTTTACGTTTCGGATGTTTTTAGATGGTGGTAATCACTTATATCATGCTAGTGCATTTGTGCTCATTATGTTATACATCATTCAAACATGCAGAGTTAAACTGTTGTCCCCACCTTCCCTTATGTGTCTGTATCAGTGCGTGGAAGAAACTTTTCCCTTCTTTACATAGCCTGAATTAGAAGTGCTTAGTCATTAAACTGTGCCCAAGAACAACTGTCCAAAAAAAGGAGAGTGAAAGGAACTGGAGGTAGTTGTGGTCTACCTACTGTTGCTAACTGTAGATTTTATTGAGAATCTCTTTTTATTCAGTGGCTTTATTCAAAATCTACCTCCTGGCATCATAGACTCGCATAAGTCCAAGGTCTCATTAAGAAAGTTTCTTGCTCTTGTGATTATGACAAAAAGCCAGAAACATAAACCCTTTATATATAAGGTAAGTAACAATATAAAAAGATGGAAAAATCATTATCTTATACAAATCTCATGATAATTTGAGGCTTGAGTCATTTTTTTAAAATGTTTCGTTTACTGTTGTTCTCATGTAGCTTTGCTGCATTTATCAAAGGCATGCCACAAATTACTCTGTTTTCCCCCTTGGTGTCACCAGAGCTCAAACAAAATGCTTCTAGGACTGTCTTTAAAGATGATATCCAGTAGTTAAGGTGCTAGCTTATGAATTGGGAGACTGCAGTCCCCTGCCGTGCCACACTTTCCTGGGGCAACTCATTTAGGCCCATAGCCACATAAGCACTTAGGTGCCTAAAGTAGATGCTGGATATACACAGAATATAAGCATCCAAATCTTCAGAGCAGGGTACATAGAATTCTTGTCCAACTGGTTAGAGGTTTGAAAACTGTCAAGCACTTCAGGTTATGCCAATAAAGTATACTAGGCACCAAAAATACTCAATTCTGGCTGTTGTAGTGCCTAGCTCATGCCTTTAGTCACTGGTTCTCAACATTGTTAAAATCAAGTAGAAAGACCTGGATACAGCAGAACAAGTATTAAAATCAAGATCTTATATATTCTTTGTAAATTAACAGGATTACTTTAACAAGATACTTGCTTTCCTGCTTTCTCCATCAGTTTCCCCTGCAAATTAAAAAAACTGGGATCCAAAGTTTTGGCCAAGTACTCGGATCAGAAAAGGAGAACACTAGTGGTGGGTGTGGGAACCATTTTCCAAATGGCTGAAGTTTGAACTCCCATTCTGTTAACAGAGAAAATAAAGGATATGTGCACAAGAATCAAAGTGGCCAAAAGATGTTTAAAAAAAAACCTGGAACAGGAGCTAGAATCATAACAAGAGAAAGTAAAGTAATATCTGTAGGTTTCCCAGAAGAGCTGATAGATGACTTGCATGCAGAGATAAAATATCTGTTAGGAAAGCAATTGCAAGGTGTCTGGACAGATTAGGAAAATGTATTGCTAACATGCCCAGTCAGGAATGGCAGCATGGATTAATTAAATGACTACCCTTACTACACCTGGGTCAGAAGAGCTTTTATGAGACAGGAAGGCAAAAGTGTGCTGGGTAATTTGGACCTTACTAAGAGATAGAAGCTGCAGCAAGGACCTAACCAACTGAGAAATTATCTGTAGAAGCAAACCTTATGATCACAAATCTCAGAGGAAGTCTTTGTGTGGAATTGGCCCAAGCTGTGGACTTACATACAGTTTTCCACCCTATATGTACAGATGGGGAAGTTTCTTTGGGGGGAAGAACACTCTGGTATTTGTCTCATTTCAGTATCAAGAGTGAAATGAATGTTTGAGAAGATGCCTGCTCTGATAGTGCTACATAACTTAAACCTGGAAAAGGGCTCAGTTAACCAGGATCTGCTCCAAGCCCTTGATATGCAATTTTGGAATCAATGATCAAGTTGATTTTGCTGTGTTATGTTCAAAGCTAAAATGGAAGGGAAAGAAGAGTCTTCATGTGAAATAGATCTTGAGATTTGTGCTTGGCATATCCATCTAGGACTGCTAGGATAAATTGGCAATGGACCAACTTATGGATACTCAGCTGGAATTGCTCTTGCGGTGAAAGGAGGCCAAAAATGCTCTTAGAAGTTGTGGAATTTGTCATGGAACTTGAATAATTTCTTGTAGTAAGGTGCCAAAAAAGGAAGCAGTTGGTAGTGAGGAAGATGGAAACAGACACTTGTCAAAAACTGGGAAATTGGATTTGAAAAAATAGACCCCTATAATTCAGAAAAGATTTCTAGGTAACTGAGAGAGCAGGTGATCTAATGTTCAGTGGGCACATCTACACATGATGCTTAACTGTGCAATAACCTAGTTTACTGTACAATAAGCATGCGCGTCTACACATGCACATGCTTACTCTGGAGTAAAAGTAGCTAACTGCGAGTAAATTTGCTACCTGCAAATTTACTTGTGATTAGTTAATGCATAGTTATGCACATGTAGATGTGATTTGGCAGCAAATTTGCTCCCAAGTCAGCCCTGCCTCTAAGGGGCCAGCCTGAGGCTAGCCTCAGGGCTCTGGGCTGGGAGCCTGTCGTGCCCCATGGCTGGACTGCCTCTATGGCAGCCCCTGCCTCAGGTCCTTAAAAGCCTGCAGGCATTTTGAGCCCTGGGGCAAACTAGCATGCAGCCCAAGGCCCCTCCAGGCCTCTAGGCATGACTGGTCAGCATGGCAGAACTGTACAAAGGTCAAAGCCTTTGTGGGAACAGTGGGTCACTGTGACCAACCACAATCATCAGTCCAGGAGTGCCTGCAAATCTGTGCCCTTTATGCAGCAACTGACGGAGATCCTCACGCCCTGGGACCCAGGCCACAGCCCCTGCCCCAGCCTACCTTGACAAGCCCAGGCCCAGCCACAAGGTGCAGCTAGCTAGCCATGACACTGCTGGCTGCCAGCAGTGCCACCTCCTCCCCGGGGGGCCCCCAGCCGGGCACATACACACTATGGCCTGCCATCTGAGGACACTGCCTAGATCCACATGCCATTGTTGCCAGCCAGGACCGAGCAGAGCCACCGGCTATGCCAGCCACAGCCACGTGGTAAGCCCCTCACTGGGGGGAGGACCCTCCCGACCCCTGCCCCCCCCACCTGGCCCAGCTGCACTTCCCTGGCCCTGGGTCCCCCTCCAGTATGCAGAAAGGTGGGAGATCATGCAAAACTTTATTGAGCAGCCTGTGCCCCCAAAGCTAGGTGGGCATGGGCCTGTC